CGTAAGTGAACAGGATCGGCCTTCGTGGAAGCCCGTCGATGAAACTACGATAACACACTCTTTTTAACAATACGATTCGATCTACGTTACTATCCTTAACATCTACTACTTAGTAAGTCAACACTCTCGTAATAACGTAACGATTACATTTATATGCTGTCGCTTGCTGTGCCATAAGATAGGTGCCCGATTGAGGAAAATTATGTACTCTGTATGTGATTTCCGCGTTTTCTTGTTGGCACCATGTGAAGTATCTACCCATGCAGTACTTCCTACACTTCGCCCCCTTAGTTTGGGTGTGTTGTGTGGCATCTCTTCTGTTGCATCTTGGTAGTATGCCTCGAAATCTTCCCTGGAGGATCTTAACTTGGAATAGTCTACGTTTGGCGTCCTCCAATTGTAATAAAGGGTCAATTTTGGGAAGGTATCCAAGAAAGCAAATATCCTCAATGCTTGTTCCATGTGTCCTTCCCTTGGAGCTGCTTGATACTGGCTCAGGAGTGATACTTCCAGTAAGATATCGACTCGTCCAATCTCTGTCACCCATCGTAATATCCCAATCAACTCTTGGAAGTAGGTATGGTCTTCTCGTCCTGGTTCGCTTGATCCACCCATCTCCGGTTCATAGGCACTAGTCATCGGCGTTGGTTCATTCTTGGGTATTTTCCATTTTGGGCTGTCCTTTAATGTTTCCTTGACGTTTTTGACTGCTGCCACAACGTAGTCATAACTTGACATCGTCCACATGTTGTGTCCATCCAAAGTCTTCTTTCGTAACCTAGCTCCCAGGTAGCTTTCTGGAGGTTCAATCTTCCCTTTCTTGAACTTGAATACCCTTCCAATTCCTTCCATCACTTCTTTGGCTTTCATCGACATACATAGGATGTCGTCAACGTAGCAAAGGATGTATTCGTAGTATTCCTCGCCGTCAGGTTTCACTGCCGCTCGCATCCAAACGTCTGGGTCGGCAGTTGACGAGCTGAAGCCCAAATCCTCCAAAGTCTCCGCCAGGTGTGATCTGAATGCTGCGGATGAACTTTTTAAGCCATATAATGCTCTTCTTACGATAAATACTTTGCCTTCTTCTTCACCAAACTTGGGTCCTGCTACCAGGTAGCACTTTTCAATTGCCGGTGCAGTGAGAAATGTGTTTTGAATATCCGCGCATTGCAAGTCTAATCCGTTTAGCGCTGCTATCATTAGTAATATCCAAACTGAATCGCGGGACACTGCCGTACTGTAGGTCAATGCTGCGGGAGCTTCAGTCTTGTGTCCATCAGCGGAGTACCTCGCTTTCCTTCGGAAGTTTTCCCCTAGTTTCACGTCAAATACTAGGTGTCCCGTGATCTTTTTGTATCCCATCAGCTTCTCTACGTCTCCATCAAATTCTTCAAAAGCGACTCAATTGTTTTTCATCTCCATTTGAATTGAGTCTTGCCATAGCGTGTCCCCATTTGCTTTGTCGATTTCAATGGCCTCTTTGATTGATTTTTGGATACGTATTCCGTACTTGTGCGTACAATCCCAGTACTTCAATTTTACTTTGCCAAGGAATCGCTTTTGCTTTCGAACAATGTGCGGGATCCACCATGCGATAGCGGGTTCGTCTTGGATGCCCTTGCTTATCGCGTAATTGGCCACTTCAATTGGGAAAGACTCCTTCATATCTTTCAGAGGTATCCAATTTGAGGAACCATCTTTCCAAGTAATGTAGAAGTCCCACCCTGCTGTCGTGTGTCGTCTTTGTTGCGCTCCACTTGCAAGGGGACAAAAGGCATCTTTCATCTTTACTGCCTTCTCATCAGAACGATGTTCCGTGATCTCTTCCATTAGTAAGTGTCTGTGTCCATGTTTGTCCACTTGTGCCAATAAGTTCTCTGCTAGCAAGTTCGCAGCGAGCACTTTGGTGCTTCCATCTTTGTATTCGACTTTGTATTGTCTCGTGTCAAGTAACTGGTTGTTGTTTGCTACACCCATTGGGTTTCCTTCTGCATCAACAAGCCTCCTGCGTACAACTGCATGTTGCAACTCCCCTTCGTATCCCCGTCTTAGGCCAATCTCCATGTTGACGTAGTTCTGTGCGTCAATGTTGTCAGTCTGTTCTGGACTGTGTCAGTCAAGATTGGGCGGCCACTCTTTGGTAATATCCAATACGTCATCATTGGACCCGTCCTGTGTGACACTCCCAACCATTGTCCTATTTCGTTTGTCCCCAGGGCGCCGTCCGTTTGGTAGTATACCCATCCATAAATTGTAAAGTCCATGTATTCTGTAATGTCCGGCGTGATGCCAGTGATCACTTCAAGCGGCACTCGTCCGTCAGAATATCTTGAATAGTTGGCGGTGATGTTCATGGTATCAACCACATAATTGAGCACAAAGTCCCATAGCCGTTCTGGTATCGCATGTTTGACTATCAATCTGTAGAATCGTCGCTTGAGCTCTCTGATCCCCCCTT